TTGTTGATGCGGTCGATGGTGTACATGGCCTGGGGGTCCATGGTGATGAACCTGCTCTCGTGCTTCTTGATCGCCGCCTTCTCCTCGTCTGCGTTTGCGAGAGAAAGAGAGAGAAACGTAAGGAACGAAGTTACATGCTTGTCATGGTTTCGTACGCGCGGACAAATTACACTTGGCGCCGGCGCGGAGCCACAACCGAAGTGGGTGATGAGAAGGAAGAGTTCTCGGCTCAACACCAGCAAAGCTGTTGACTCTAGCCACGTAAGACAAAAGCTGGCGGTAGCGTGAACTTGTACAATAATGACACGGAGTATTGACCACTAACGGAGATCTCTGGTTGTTCATCCAAGTCATTATTATATACTCCACTCTTTGGAACCCCTGCAAACCAAAAACAGAAACACGTCAGTCCCAGCCATCTCAAAAATGTGCCGCACATCAGCAAACCGGCGAATTGCGACCTGTCTCACCCGCCGATTCCCGCTTGCTGTTGTAGGTGCGGAACTAATGAACTGCAACAGATTATGCCCAGAAAGCGTACGAGTGATTGACTCGTCAAACAGACGGAGACACCACAAAACGAGTGGCCGTCACAAGTCATGATCTGACCCGCCCTCGGTGTGTATAGGTGCAAACAGCGCAAGATGCCGTGAGTTCGCTCGTTAGCTTGAAGGGAGCAAGCTATGTTTATTCTGAGAACACGCTGCCTAACAGCGCACAGAAGTCGAGCTTTCCCACCGACTCGACCGCCACAACAGCGACATCACTCACTGGAGAGTCCCTTGATGTTGTAGATCTCCGACACAGACGAGTACGGGCCGTTCGATACGATCTTACCCGCCGCGCTGGGGTACCTGTGGATCGACAGCAGACACAACACGCAGGAGTACAAAAACGGCAGCGGTCAAGACAAAAGACGGCGCGACGGCAAAAGCAGCAGACAGCCGCGATCGTAGTACCCATCCCAAGACGGATTTCCTTCGTGTTTTCTCGTCCCGCCTGATCCACTGTTCGATTCAACATTAAATAGATGTGTGCCTTCGGAGCGAGACAGAGTTGGGACATGGTCGAACTGCAGTTTTCAAGCCGAGGACAACCGCAACTCGATGCATTGCTAGTCTCAGACCTCCGATGGTTCGACAACGACTTGCAGACCGCGCGTAACAAGGATACGGACCCTGCACGCAAGTCGAACGCAAAAGAGCCGTTTGCTTCCCACGCCATTTTCGGTTATATGGGATGGCGGAGGTGGAGGGTCATTCACTCGCGTTTTAACGCTATTTAGTGGTTAATGGTACGCGCTGATGGAGGAACGCTTTTCCGTCCCGTTTTTCAAGTGAGGTGCGGGCGCCGTCTTTTTGGACTTGTACATGCCCTTGTGCACGCTGTGCTTGCTGCGGCTGTGTACACGAGTTAAACGACCTACACCCATCTGCAAAAACACGAGACTACAGACAAAAACGGCTACAATAATCTGGCGCCACCGCACACTGAGCATCAATATCAGCGTGCGGCGTTCTGGGCGCAGTCAAGCCTATTTATTCAAGTAGGTCTTTATGCGGCTTTGCATAGAAGGCGTAAGAGAGGAGGGGGCCCACGTTGATGCCCTCCGAACCTCACAATTGTCTTAACTGTTGGCAGCGGTCAATCTGGGTATTCTGTGGTTGTGTCGGAGGACATTAATGGGAGCACATGGGAACGACCCAATCTGCTACAGCAGTGAATGGTAGCAGGCCTCAACAGGTTCACGAGGAGATGGCCATTGCGATGCTGCTGTGTTTCGCGGATCTCGCTCGTGGCAAGCAAACCGGTTCACCAGTGCGCTGGATGTTTGGGCACGGCATGTGCATCACTGCTATCTAAGATGCATAACTCCCACACAAATGTCAAGGCCACCGCGGTGTGTACTGAACTTAACAACCACGCAAGTTGAACCAAGACAACAGCCACTACTATGCACATGCTTCAATCAAAATAAAAATTACCCCGATATTGATGCTGAATTTGCTCCACTACATGTCGATAGGGAGCAACGGCTCCAAACGATCAAGTCGTGTCGAGTGACGCAGCGACCACCCGCAGAACATGAACTTAGAGTGCACACGCACCTCAAAACCTCCGAACCTCCAAAACATTTTATACCACTCAATGTAAGGCAAGACCCTCGGGACCATCAACACACCTTGCATGCATTGGACACAAACTGCTGTATCGGGGCCAAATGGTCAATGCATGAGACAACATTGACAAGCGGCAAACTCACATGCCCGAGAGCTTGATGTACGCGCGCACGTTGGCGTTGTTGACATCGATCTTGTCGCCGCCGCCAAGGAAAGGCACGACCGGGTTGTCCACCTCCGCCAAAGCCGGCGCCGCGAGCCCCAGGAGAGCGGCCGCTCCCGCCGCCGACTTGAGGAAGTCCCCGCGGCTTGCGGGCGACTCGGCCGACATGGTGGTGGTCCTGGCGCTGAACGGCCGGACAAGAAGATGAGGACCGCGTTTTGCGTCACATTCAGGATGCCGGACATGGGGTGGGGGGGGTGGGGGGAGAGAACACTCAGCAGGAGAGCCAAGCATGATGGAGAGATCACGGACCCAAATTCAACGTTCGCAGAGTGTGTCGAACTTTTGGACAGGCAAAGAGGTGGCACAGGACATGACACATATAAAGAGCACACACGCTTTCTAGCGCGGCCGAGCGCCAAAGAACATGGGCACACGAACACGTTCCCTGGGCAGCATACATATGCCAGTGCAAAGCTGCTGCCCCGTGCGTGGACTCGGCAAGTACAGGCGTCGTTTGAGCACCCGGAGTAAAGCTGACTAATCCCCGTCAGGGAGAGGCCGCATGACCTCCCGGTGCAACACCTCGCTTCCCCACTCCAGTGACCATCGTTGGCGAGTCGCTGACCAACACAAACGACCGTTTTTCTCCGGCACTCGAGCAACACAGTGGGCCGTGTCCACCAGGGGGGCCGACGAAAACAACCTAGTACTCCGTGGCTGGCCTACTACTGCTGTGGTCTATGCATGCGACAGCGCCGGGCCAGCACCTCCCCGTGGCGGTTGTTGCAGACAATCCGACAACCTCATGCGTCTGTGTTTTCAACAAAAATGAGGCGCATCAAATTTGGCGGCACATGCACCCTGATGTAGATTTGCACCATTTCAAACCCCTCGGGAGCAGGAAGGGCTACGGCACCCTCCGGCCACCCCTAAAGTGCTCCCGTTTGCCGCCCTGCCTGCCTGCCTGCCTGCCTCTCTCTCTTATTTCGAACACGACAACCAGCTTCTTCTTCTGCGACCCAGACAGGTGTTGGGTGCTTCCTGTGTGTGCCCCTCTCCTGTCCTCACCTCATGCGTGCCGCGGGCAGCGCGTGCGGCACGAAGGCCGAGGCCGATCCCACGCAAGCCAGCACTGCGACAGTAGTGAACTTCATTGTGTAGTTGTGTTGGGTGTGCTGGGAAGATACGTAAAGGGTGCGGGTGTGAGTTAGGAAGATGGGCTCCGACAGGTGTGACCAACAAGAGCACGGCGGAGCGGAGGGGTGAGAAAGAGGGGACGAGAAATCACTTGATTTTAGAGTTCAAGATTCAGGTTCAAGTGTCCATGATTTGACGATGTGATTGAGATGTGGTTCCAGGATCTACAAAAACCAAACGTGGGGGCCGCAAACTGAATATCTTCCTCGTTGTCCTTTTACTGCCGTACAGAGGAGCGTTCACAGAGTCGGTGTAGAATGTGGGGAGCTTGGTTTCGTTGTCTCTCCTTCTTGCACACCTTCACGCAAGAACAGGTGCCACCCGTTTCGAGGCAGCAGGGATATATGCGAAACATCATGATTTGAAGTTTGACTGCTCGTTGCTCCGGAGTACATACATACATATAGCATAGGACAAGTGTATCGGTTTTCATAGTAGTCTATAGTCTACTCAAACTCTGATATCATGTTTACCCGTGATGACTTGCACTTTCTTCTGAGTTTACCCCAACCTTGCCTCCCTGAACAACTCCGGTCCATTCGTCACACAATAACTCGTTGATGTATACCTTCAGCTACAGCGTTCACAACGTGTGTGTTGTCTCATCCCTAGGTACTACTTTGTATGCACACAGCAGCAGCAGCAGTAGAAACAGCTTGGTTGAAGGATGGACGCCCCCAACCCCCCAATCAGGGACATACAGCAGGAGAGGAACGCTTCGCCGGAGGACGTTTTCTTGCGTGGTAGAAACAGCATGTCGCTTTGTGCTACCTACCGGCGGATTCGTGCGAATTCTTCTCGATCGTCATATTGTTTGTTTTTATCCCATCATTGGACTCTGTCGTCTGCCCCTCTGGCCCCTATCCTCCACTTCTACCAGCTAGACGACCCGACCGGGGTCACATAGGAGGGGGGGGTTGGACCCCCTCCTGCGGTTCCTGCCTGAGATGTTTTTATCGCGAGAAGGGTATAGCAATCCCTTCCTTCGTGACTTATGAAGTCGATCAAGTTTACTGACAACGAGCTTTGCAGCGCGTCGCTTCCAACGGAGACCAGGATTTCATAAGCGAGAAAAAACTCACTCTCTCGGGACTCGAACCCATGACCTGGCCCTTAGCAGGCTACGAGTCTACCCACTAGACCACCGGGGCCACCGTATGTCCTCCGTTGGTGCTGTGTAGACAACAAAAGCATCAACACTAAATACTAGCGTTCGGTTGTGTGTTTCGATATCCACTTGATGTTGATTGTTTCGCAGAGAACCGTTCCCTATCGTCGCATGTAACCCCTCGCACAAATCAATAGCTGTGCAAGCGGTTTGAGGGGTCCGTCAAAATTCTCCAGTCCAGAACATATCAACATCTCCATCGATGCAACGGACAGACATGCGATTGCCTTTCGGAAGTCACGGACAGAGAGTAGAACGAACCCCCGGAAAAGTCGAGACGGTCGCTGTTGATTAACGGATTTCATCGCTTATCCGCTGAACCCTAGCCAGGGAGGGACGGCAAGGGCTTGCTGCCAGGGTACATGTATCAGAGGTGTAGATCACTCCATTCTTCAGACGATGACTCCGGCGGCTTCACTACTGTAGCCACTGGAATGTTTTCAGAAGACAGGGGAGAATACATCCCGGTGATGCACTCCGGGCGCCGTAAGCATGGTTCCAAGCGCGGCGTACCATCTCAGGGTGAAACTTGGTGAAGAAATTCAAGATTCAACCAACGCCAGCTCACAGCGCAAAGGGCGGGCCTTCCCTTTGCAGCCGTGATGCTATCGACGCCAAGCATCGCAACAGAAACGAAACCACCGAAAGAATAAAATTGGACTTACCACTTGCGCCCAAAATCGATTTCAATCAAGGATTCAACCTACAAAAAAAAATGTTCTCCAAGATCCCACATACTTGAAGCCAAATCCAGCCATTTGCAGCAATCGCACGCACATCAAGAACAGGCGCAGCGATACAAGCGTGCGCTGATGAGCGCCATGACCTTGCTCTTTTACGCCGATGGCGCACGAAAACCGACCACAGACCCCGCCCCGGAAAATAGTCCCATCGTTTGGTCCGTCGAATGTAGAGACACACACACAAAACACACGAAATACGCCTAAGCGTTTTGCCTTCCGACTGACAAACGCGATCGAGAAGCAGGGCCCAAATACCGGGAGTGCTACGAAAGCGAGCATCTATGGCGAGAATCAGCGGTGGCGCCCATCGATAGTTTAACTACCATGCGTTACTTTGGCTCGCAGCATCTGCGCGACAAAAACCTCTCGATCGGTACGTCATGACGCAATGTCTTTTCGGTTGGCCGTCACTACGTGGTACACGGTGATGGACACAAACACCAAGACTCCGAGCACGTTGACGAACCCCGACAGCGATGCGTCCAGGCTCTCGCTCATGTTGCGCTCCTTCCTTTCGACCTGGATCCCCTCTGCTCGTTTCCGCCTTCGCGCCTTCTCCCTGCTCCTCTTGCCAGCACCTGTCACCGCGTATGCGCAAGAGCTTTCCCACCTGTCGGCAGGATATCGGCGGATGCTAACCACGCATGTAGGCACGGGGTGGGGAAGGGAAGGAAATGGGCGGTCAGAGACGGGCCTGGTACTACCCCCCCCTAAAAATCGAACGGGCGGGGGGGGGCGGTGGCCATGGCAGTGCCCAATTGAGAAGCGACGAAAAGAAACAACACCTGCAGATTGATCGATGCGCACGATGTGAAGAGTGCGAGGAACCACGTGATCGCAGCAACCCCGTAAATAGCTCCTGCTGCGGCGCTCATCAGCATAGGGTGTAAGGGTAGCTTCATTGCGATGATAACATGTTTGCAAAGCAGGGAAAAGTCGGGCGAGGGCGACCAATTCGCCGTGAGGCGTAAAGGGTGTGTTGGCACTGAGCTCCACAAGCGAATCACTGCTGTGCACCCTCCATCTAAGCTTACTGCCGTAAAGGGCAAAAATACCGAGGTCGAATGAAGCAGCCGTACGGGTTCACCGGACGCCTGACTCATCGACAGAGCGAAAGTGAGATTTGAAGTGACAGATCCAGTTTTACTCGTTTTTCCGATTACAGCAATACGCAGACCATCTTCAAGTTTTCAAAGGCTGGGACGTAGACGGAAGAACGCGTTGCTTTTGAGGCATGTTGGGCCGGTGCCTAGGCAGGACATTTCTCAACAACAACAGCGAAGTAAGCGTATCTCTTCATCGCAAATCACAATCATCTCCTTGTCGGTTGCCTGGCAACGGTACGGCTGAGCCGACGTCTAGGTAGCCCCGAGCTCTACTACAACAGCGATGTATCTCTCCCTCAGACATCACAACCATCTCTCAATCGATTGGTGCGGTAACGCTACGGCTGCTAATAGCGAAGGGTTCAGACAGAGTTGATCTGAGTATGTTTATTCCATGCTGATCTTTGACATACAGGTGAGCTGAGTATGTTTACTCCATGCTGATCTGTGAAACACACAGCAGTAGGTGAGCAAGGTCATGATCTGTCCTGTGGGCGAGGAAGCAAGGATTAAAGGGTAGTGGTCATCTTACTGTACGCGGCCTCAAGACATAAGATTAATAACCGGCTGATTTCCGCGATGTTGTTCATCAAGGGAGAGTAACGCCCCACATTTTCGACGATCACGTGCGGCTGTATGGTGATTCAGCTATGTCAGAAACACGCAACGATAGAGTTCTTCCTCGCCTTCCGTGAGCAAACGGTGATGGTCGGCGGTACGCAGTACCAAACAGCCACAGCTACAAGTGGTATCCTCTCGGTAAACCTATCGTTAACTAACTTTGCGTGAGCTGTGCTGTTTTCACTGCTGTTGTAAATCGGGTCATCATATGCGGCTCTACCCCAGCCGCACACCAGGCACCCTCCTGTCCTACTATTTAGTGTAGTGTGCTCAATCTGCCCTCCAATACCGAAAGAGATCATTGGGTATCACGCCGCACCCAGGCGGGTAAAAGCGATACAGCATCGCGAACGCTCACAGAAGCAATCGTAGCCTAAGCATAAGTCTGGTGAGGGGGAGAGCATAATTCGTGTGCAGCATTCCCAGCTTCCCCGGCATCTGCCGATCCGCCACAACCGAAAGTAAGTTCCGTTCCCTTGGCGGAGACATCCTGAGAGATTGCTGGCTGGGGGGAGGGGGATTCGCGGAACGTACCTCACGGGATTGGACATTTGGACACACGCGTAATCCGGTACTGAAACAAGGACCTCACCTGTGACTATTTCTCCTCGCAACAACCGCAGGTTTTCCTTGCGGATGGCAACTAGCTGTGGGTGGATGGCCACGCGAAGACGAGGGAGGCAGAGCGTGTGTGACGGTTTGACGGTTTGAGAGCGTACGGCGATGAGAGGTTCTTAGAATCCCGTTCGAACCCTTTGCAACTCCATTTTCGGGGCTGGCAGCCTTCTGCCCCCCGCTTCTCTCCGTGCGTTCTGGAGCAGTCAGAGCTCAGCCCGTGTGCGTGGTGAGGTGCCGGGTGGGCAATGGCGGAGGTCAAGAGGATTGACGAGGGCACTGCCAATGGAATGCGAGCTGGTGCTGTTGTTTCCACCATGTCCCAAGCTGTACAAGAACGTGAGCTTCTCCACATCAAATTTAAATTTTCGAAAGCCCAGGCGGTGTCCGCATGTGTTGCTGCTGTAGTGGCAGAACCCCGCCTTGTGCCCGGCGCGTGGTCTCTGGCTCGTGCCGGCCTAGTCCCTCTCTCTCTCTCTCTCTCTCTCTCTCTCTCTCTCTCTC